TCATCCCGTTGAAGGATTACCACCTGAGGACAAAAAATTTCGACTTGCGTGTCGTCTACCTTAATTTTTATTGTTTCCCCTTTCATCAATTCTATAACATGTTATGTTAATAACTGTATGGAGACGCCCTTAGGTTATTTACCCCTTTTTTTTTTTGGACGGCTTAAGTACGCATACCTTGTCGCGGCCGCCACTAAAAGGCTAGGAGCCCCTAGGTTCGTGCCTCATTTGCCTTCAGGTGAAACCGCCAATGAACCGACATTATTAGAGTCAGTGTTGTCTAACCCAACGCTCCTTCAAGGAATGTCATTTAAGGATTATATTTTTTTCGGAGAGGGGAGGTGGGGGTGGGGGTGGGGGCGGCAAAAAAAAATTGTGCCTGCTGTTTGAGTTGCCGCAGTGCATAGCAATTGTAATAAAACCTGCAAACTTAGAGGGTGGAAAAGACCACCCCACCCCCCTACATCCTACCCAAAGGACCCCCCTGGCCCCCATACCAGAGAAATGCCAATAAAAGTAACACAAGTTGAACAATAAGCACATTTTTAATATCTCCAAAAAAGTCACATTTTTTAAGAATTATTCCCTGAGCTTTATTTCCACATGACCGCAATCACCGACATGATATCAAACATTACAAAAGAAGCCAACATAATTTGTAAACAAAAAACAAAACAAAAAACAAAAAAAACAAACAAATATCATATTTTAAAAGAGACAAAATGTTGCACCTGAAATCCAGCAACAACAACAACAATTGTTGTATGTACACCTGCCAATAAATTAATCTCACCGTGGGGAAGAAACCCGTTCTCCCGATTGTATTGTATGGGTACTTATTTATGTTTAACTCGATGACATATAGGTCATATGATAACAAAAGATGCAGAGTAAATGGACGTATCCAAATCATACAACTCACGTTAAGCTAACCCAGTGGTTCTCAACCTTTCTAATGCCGCGACCCTTTAATACAGTGCCCCGTGTTGTGGCGACCCCCCCCCCAACCACAAAAAATAATTTTGGTATATACTTTATAACTGTAGATTATATGTCTTTTCAGGTGGTCTTAGGTGACCCCTGTGAAAGGGTCGTTCGACCCCAAAGGGGTCGCGACCCACAGGTTGAGAACCGCTGAGCTAACCGATTTCACGCCAATGTCTGCTACGGGCACTAGTTGGACATTATTATGCAAGCCTGATTTCAAAGTGACAAAAGCCGTCAAGAATTGAGCACTAGATGCATTATTTTTATGAAAACTAAATTTTGCTGGGATCATATTTTGAAATGCATAGCTTAATCACATACACACACACACACACATATACACAAACACACACACACATCACACAAACACAAACAGAAATGCATTTTACATTTCTTTCCTATTCAACAATTGGGAGTTTACAGAAGCGCTAGTTTTAAGTGCGGTCAATACCCCAATGCGCTTCTCAAGAGACGCAAGCAGCAGGCCAAAGAAACAAATGATCTCTATTTATTTCCTATGTCAAAAGATGCATTTAAAGGTGACTATTTTACATCATTCAGTTATAATAAGAAGTTTTATTAAAATAGAATTGGAAAGCTAACGCCGTGCTCCATTCGTGGGAGCAAAAAAAAAAAGAAAAATGCAAATAATTATTACTGTCATTTATCTCAGGGGAATTAAATAGATGGGGGGGGGGGGTCACTGGTTTTAACATAAAAAAAAAAAGAAAAATGCAAATAATTATTATTGTCATTTATCTCAGGGGAATTAAATAGATGGGGGGGGGGGTCACTGGTTTTAACATATGAAGGCATCATCTTACTGTATGCGTATATTATGTCTTGGACGTTATGTCATGTCGTGGCCAGCTTAATGACATCACTCATGATCATGAAGAGGGAGAGGAAGGGGGAGGGCAAAGTGAAAAGGGGCGGGGGGTCATGAATTTGACACAATGTTTTTGGGGGGTTGGGGGCTGGGGGGGGGGCTTGTAACAATCGGCTAGAATAGGGTGACGTCATTTTTTGATGATTCCTTATGGCTACAATTGGGTTAAAGTTTGCATCACCTGTCATGGTCAAGAAAAGGACAATTGCATGGATCATTATCAACATTACAACAATGTGTTTGATCAAAGTAATCAAACATTGTATTAGAAGTCATAGAATGGTTTTCATTGTAAAATTATGCTCAAGCATGGTCAAATATATATTTTAAAAAATTATATAAGCATACATTTCCAATTAAAAAAATATATATAAATATCTTTACCCATCTGTAAGGATTTAAAATAGGCTGGAGAGGGGTGTGCATTCAAAGTATTTGTTACATTGTTAACAATAGAATGTTGGTGAAATATGACTGTTGGTGAAATATCAATGTTTTCTTAGCACCATCGGGTAAATATATAATGCAAGGGCACTTCAGAACGTCAAAGATAGGCAGTTATTTGATAAAAGATATGTTTGATTTGATCAGTGTAAACAAAAATATATATTCCCTGCCGAGATAAGGCAAAACAAATATACCCATGAGCCGCGTCGAGCATATTACATGTCAAGATATAGAACCTGGCGAGGTAATAATTCAGAGGTCTTCATACAGGCAGGGCCGGCCTTAGGCCACTGCAACCTATGCGACCTATGCGACCTCAGTGCCCCCCCCCCCTGCACTTTTTTTTTTCTAATACAAAATCTTAATTTTCACTTATTATCCTTACCCCTACCCAGACTGGGCCCCATGAGCGCAATCCGTTTCGCATAGGGCCCCCCGCAATTGTTAGGGCCGACCCTGCATACAGGTTCGCATGTACTCAATTGTATTGTACACAGAGCACACATTTGGTGATGCGGCAGAATGCCTGAAGTAGGCGTGACAGTTCTTTTGGACCTAACAAGACAGGGTTGGCTTGAGCTAAGAGGACAGTTTAAAATAAGGCATCGTTATTTATAATGCTTGGCAAGGGGGCAATGCATTAAATAACCAGAATAGGAAATTATGTTGTTTTAGGGCTGTAGAAACCTCCCAAAAAAAAATGAATTATAATAAACCAAAATAACAAATAACATAATAAGAAGCGCATCCGGAAATCTGATCGAAAGAAATTTCGTCAACGGTAAATTGATCGACGGTAATTTGATCGAACGGAAATTTGGTCGAATCTTTTTTCTCTCCAGTTTTTAGGTTAAAATTTTGCTTCAAATTTCTTCTTGAATGTATTATTTTGTATTACTAAAATAACATAGTGCGTTCAAAAAGAAATTTGACGAAAATTTTAACGTGTGAGCTGAAGATATAAAAAAGTTTCGACCAAATTTCCGTTCGATCAAATTTCCGTCGATCAATTTACCGTCGACGAAATTTCTTTCGATCAAATTTCCGGTGACCAATAAGATGAAGTGACATCCATGTATGTGATATGTGGAGACGATTCTAGATATTTAAAAAAAAAAGGAAGAACACTGGAAACGAATGGAGGTTAATTTTAGACTTGTCTTTAGTTCTAAAGCATAGTGTGACTGCATGGTGTGACTGCATGGTGTGACTGCGTGGTGTGACTGCATGGTGTGACTGCATGGTGTGACTGCATGGTGTGACTGCGTGGTGTGACTGCGTGGTGTGACTGCGTGGTTTGACTGCATGGTGTGACTGCATGGTGTGACTGCATGGTGTGACTGCATGGTGTGACTGCGTGGTGTGACTGCATGGTGTGACTGCATGGTGTGACTGCATGGTGTGACTGCATGGTGTGACTGCGTGGTGTGACTGCATGGTGTGACTGCATGGTGTGACTGCATGGTGTGACTGCATGGTGTGACTGCATGGTGTGACTGCATGGTGTGACTGCGTGATTTAGAACGGTGTGAGAGGACGGCGTCACTGAATAGGGTGCATGACTGCCGTCAACTGAGAATGGCGTGGAGACTGCGTCACTTGAAATGGTGGGTGAACTGGGTCACTGAGAATGGAGTGGGGGCAACGTCACTGAAGATATTGCGAGACTGCGTCACTGGACAAACTGAAGAAAAGGCCTCCATGAAAATGGTGAGTGACCTGCGTCTTGGCAGCTGTGCATACAAATTGAGACAAACGAATTTGGTTACTGTTTTCATCTTGAGTGAATCACCGGACAAGTTCACCTATTCGATGATGCAATGTTTAAAAAGTGCATGGATATAATTAAGAATGGGCCAAGTTATACACGATAAATGGCTTATAGGATACCTTCTCGTTGTTGTTAGACAAAAAAAATAAATAAATAAAATAAAAATAATTATGTCGTTGTTGAATGACGTAAAATTGAGATTTACCTATGCTACCCCCACCCACACCCAACCCCTAAATACGCCCCCCCCCCCAATATCCCAACCCATAAAACGAAATCAATCTTCGTTGAACTTCGTTGGTCCAAAAAATAATACAAATATAACCTCCAAAGTAAATGCGATGCTCGGGAAGGGAAGGCATGAATATAAAGTTTATATTAAAAACCAAACCGCTAAGCTCACTGATGCGAGGAGAGGAGCTCACTGAATTAGCTCCCGGGGGGGGGGGGGCTCCTGTAGAGGCTCGGGCAAGGGCCGGTGTAGGGGTCGATGCTCGGGAAGGGAAGGCATGAATATAAAGTTTATATTAAAAACCAAACCGCTAAGCTCACTGATGCGAGGAGAGGAGCTCACTGAATTAGCTCCCGGGGGGGGGGGCTCCTGTAGAGGCTCCGGTAAGGGCTCGTGTAGGGGCTCGTGTAAATGGCTCTACTGTGCAAATTGGGCCAATGGATTCAAGCACCACCTACTTTGATTTTTTTTTTAAATATGCATAATTACGTTTAAACTTATCGTGTTTTACAGTAAATTCACAGACCATCAGATTGGCTCCATACACTTTGATCTAAGGTGTATATCAATTAGCCATAAGCGGATTTGCAGCTTCAGACCAGTCTTCCCATCGATCATACGCTCATTTATATAGGATGCCAATGTTAAAGTCTCCAGAGTGTTTATCTGTTCGATCAAATTCTGTTGTAGAGCATGTAGTGCAGCTTCGCCGTCTCGTTTTTCAAAATCGCCACCTGCGCCCTGAGCTTCAAGTTCTCCTGTTCTAAGAACGCAGCCCTCATGGCTATCTCCTCCTCCTTCTGACGCCTGGCGTCCCGCGACCGCTTGGCCGCCTCGTTGTTCTTCCGCCGCCTGTCCCAGTACGCGTCGTCCTTCTTCACATCCGCCGACGAACTGGATCGTTTTCTCTTCTCCCCATCGCTTCCGTTAGAGTCTTCTCCGCCCTGAGACACGGGGCTCGAGGTACTGACCCTCGAGCTGCCGTTCCCTTCCCCACCGCTGACGTTCCCACCGCTGGGGTAGCCGCTGTTACTGTTCGTGGCGGCGGTGGTGGTGGTGGTGGTGGCTGTGGTGCTGGTGCCGCTGGTGTGATCGCGGTTCTCGGCTCTCCTTTTTCTCTGGAGGAGGTGTGATGTCAAAGGCGTCATCGGAAAGGAAGGAAAACCGGAAGGAGAGACGGAATCATACAAGGACTGAAACGCTGCTGGCGACGGGGAGAGGGCCCCCGTGGCCCCAGCCATCAGGGGGTTGTTGTACATGCCAAAGGGGTCCATGGGGTACATTTTGAATGGTTTCATGCCCATTGCTCGGGGGTCGGGCATTCTGTCAGCTGATTTCATGATGTCATCTCCCGACAGTGACGTGACTTGGCCGGGTGAGCTGGGGTTCGAGAACCCTCGATCGCTCCCGGAAATCAAATGGTGCGGCGGGCTGGCCGAAGGCAGGCTCGACCTCATGATGTGAGACAGCTGGGGTAGGTCGTGTAAGTGCGATGTCGGGAACGCGATGGGTCCCGCTGCCACGCTGGACACCAGGCTGCCCGAGCTGTGTGTGGGTTGGGCCGCCAGCCCGTTGGGCGACGATGCAATGATGGGTTTGATGTCCTCGTGCGTCTCGGACGACGTACTGTCCGAAGACGCGCGTCCTGAATCGCTACTGACGTGGTCCAGAGGACGAGTGACGCGGTCCATAGGACGAGTGACGTGGTCCATAGGACGCGTGACGTGATCGGTCAGGCGTGTGACGTGATCCATAGGACGTGCGATGTTTTTTGATGTCCCTCCGTAGGAGGACACGCTAAGGTCTAAGGCCCCGTCAGACATGGTCATTTAGCGATCTGAAAAAAAATAGAGAAACCAATGTTTAGCTCGAACAAGTGTACAAAATATAAGTTTGAATCAGTGTACACAAAATTAGTTTGAACGAGTGTACACAAAATTAATTTAATCTAGTGTACGTACAGTAATTAATTCAAGTTAGGTAAACCAGAAAAATTTAATAAGGTAATCAGATTTTTAAATTATTTTTCTTTTAAAACTTCATTGCCCACCAATACAACTATTCCATGGCCAGATTTTTTTGTCTAACAAAATGCTGGTAAAAATGTTATTTAAGTGGGCTCCCCCCCCCACGCACTACCCCCCCCCCCGGGCCTCAAACCACTCACTCAAATTCATTTTTTTTACACAAAACATTATTAAAAATGCTATGCAATACCATAGGCATGGGAGAAATTACCGGGGAAAATTGTATTTTAAATAAGTTGTGAATTGCAACATAAAAATTAAAAAATTGCATTTACTTCTCTCTAAGAAAATAAAATAAGGATTATTTTGTCTTGAATCATTCCAGGTATATTAAGCCGACGCGTGACGCACTGATCATCATTACAGATTGGCACCTCAAAGTTTAACATCAGACATTAGCCTGGCCTGTAGATCTGATCTCGTCATTGTTCGTGAAGACCTTTAACCCATTGTATCCACGAAGGATCGGAAGTAATGGT